AAACTGAAGATTTTTTTTGTGACTTTGGTTTAACAAGCTCTGCATGTATAACAAACATCTTCTATTAACGAAACTTTCCATAATATAAATATGAAGATCCAGCCAAACCGAAACCGAACCGAAATTTTTCGGTTTGAACCGAACCGTTCGGAGCTTTAGTCTGCTTTCACTAATTTCATTCTTGGTTTAATATAATATTTTTTATCATTTTTTTGTTTTTCTCATAATCATTTGTGATCTCCCAAAACTTGCCTCTTAAATAGTTTAGTTATTTGCGGGTAATAATGAGATTGAATTCCCTTATTTAATACTTGGTTATTCTCTTCACTAAAATAATCAAGCAATGTCTAAAATATTCTGATAAGTCTTTCTCTTGGAGCAGATCAATTGCTTTATCAATAGCCAATTTTAGTTCTTTGGTTGTTTTTGGTTTTTGCTTTTCAACACTTTTTCTAATAAAGTTAAAGCATAACTCAGTTGGATTTAGTTTGGGAGAATAAGGTGGCAAGTGAATAGGTTGAATATTCTTTTGCTTTAATAACTCTTTAATAGGAGTTAAGCCTAAATTCAAACATGACTGACTAGATCTGTGAACGGGAAGATTATCAAGAAGTAAATAATGTTTTTGGTTATCAATGAGTTTAAGATTAGTAAGAAACTCATGAAAATTTTTGGTTTTCATTCCTCCTTGGATTAACTCATAATGAATTACTCCTTTATTTTCTATATTCTGAATACATAAAATTAAGGTGTGGTTTTCTCCTTGTTGACTTGGTTTGCGAGAATTAGACCTAAAACCTTTCATAGCATAATTACACCGAGGCACTTTGTTTAGATGAAAAGAGCATTCATCAAGGGCTAAAAAAGGATAAATAAAAAGCAAAGGTGTGGTTTCTTTCAAAAACAGTCTAATTTTCTCTTTGTGTTTTAGTTGTTTGGCATAATGGTAGGTGATTTTTTTATGAGTAATATTGTGCTTTTTTAGCATTCGGGAAACTGCTTGTTGACTAACCGATAAACCTTTTTCTTTTAAAAGATAATCTGCCATTTCTTGTTGGGTTAAGTTATTGCCTTTAAAAATATGAATCTACCAGAACTCTACGATGTGTTACTACATTATAAACATATCTTCTTACTATATCAGGAGTCCATGCTCTCTGAA